ATTTTGTATTTAAAACAAGCGCGTAAAACTCTTGAAGCGTTTTGGATTAATTCCAAAAACCCGAAAATGAACCGCAAGGTGGGGTGTCCTCTGACCAAGCGTGACATCACACTCTACCTCAGGCCGATTCTATGAGCTAACCCGAAAACATTCCTCGGGAATGTAATACTCTGTGCGAGTGCTTTCCATAAATTAACTGAGTACTTAAAGAGCATGAAAAAGTTGGGTGTTTAAAAGAAGCTGTTCATTATGCCAATACAAATTCATGTGTTAAGTCTTATCTGCTGAAATTATGAAAGTGTTTGGCTGAGTAGATTGCAGATCAATTTGACCTTTCCAGGCTCTGAAGACGGCGAAAGCTCCGAAACGTTAGCTGTTGCGTGCTAATAAATTCTATAATGCCAGCCTTGTGTTTGCTCACTGAAGAAAAAAAGACAGTGAATATGAATAGTTTATACGAAAGTACTCCCTACCTCATAACATAAGAAACCTTTTTCAGAAACAGTTATAGCAACGCGAAATGAAGCGCCTTGTAGGGAATTATTAAGCTCTTGCTGAGAAAACATTAAACTATGACGATGCTAAGGTAAGAGCAAAACTTCCTACTGAAGTTGGGCGTCAACCCCTGACCACACTCTCTAGTTTCTCACGCGTTATTCACCATGTCAACTGAGGCCCTTGTTTTGCTTTTCTCTCAGTTGGTTTTTCATTCTGTCGACACCAACAGCAGTCACCCTTAAACAGTAATGAGCTGGGGAGACGTATCGGCATTAAACTTCGTGAAGCTGAAGCTGTGGTCAAATCCACAATGTTAACTTTTAAGTTACCGTTTAATAAACTACCCGAATTTCAACACAATGGCGAACGTGCGGGTCTTTGTCTTATCGTCGATAATCCGTTAATGATTAGAGTAGATAAAGAGTGGGAGACTTTGCAAGTTATAAAGCAGAGTTAGCTTATCGTTCCTATTACCCTAACAGGGTCACTTGTACTTCAATTTTTATAATTCGTATTCATGAAATATTAACTAGATAGCTTTTCAAACAGTTTTCGCATAAGAGAAACAGCTGCTCACACCAGTGACACATTTGAAGATACCAGCCGCACGTTCTTTTTCAAGAAATTCCACTTGTTCACTAGTTTTCATGCTCGAAATACGAGCCTTAACGATAGGAAGATAAAAGCGGGAACTACACATGTTTTCCAAAATAATAAATTATTTTTGATGACGTATAGTTGTATGTATGGGTTATTTTCGGGAATGGGTTAAAACTTGATTAGTTGACTCAGAAAGGAATTTTGTGAATGAACTCTTGCAGTCCATATCAGACTGAAGGCTCAGTGTATTAGAAAACGACTAGGAGTTAGGGAACTTGATTTGGACGCAATCACGATAAGGAAGGATACTGAGTCTGCAGTGAGAAACGATGGAACATGGTGTACAAATATACCAATTTGCAGTGGTTAATTGTTTCATCGAAATGGTGAAAATAAAAATTAGTACAAGCTCTAAAATTCTAAACCGCACCACTGACGTTACACTAATCTCGGCACTAATCAGTAATTCGCAGTTCTCTTGGTAAATACACACGTGGTTTTACTATACTCTTTATTAACAAGAGCTGACATTTCGGCAGATTTCGGCTTCTTCAAGGCTGGAAGGGTACAAGTTGACTGCAGTATACTCAACCAAAAACATCCACAACTCAGACAGAAAAATCACCAAACCTGCGTTTCGGCTGCAGTGGAACCAAAATAGCTTTTTGGCACCCATAGCGGTTTCTACGAGACTTTCACTGAGTATTCCACATGGAGATCAACAGCACAGAATTCGCACGGATGGCTAATGCGCCTCGCTCACAACAAAATGTCAGTCCGTGTTACTGTGCAAGATCACACGTGGCAACGAGGCGTTACTTTCTGCTGTTATTTTGAGTGAGAATTCCAGTAAACAGAGTGGGATTCTTCATTCAAACAGTACTACACTGGTTTTCACTCGATGCTCTCACAGAAACCCACAGAGGAAGATGGAGGAACTGTGGGCAACCGACTAGGACCAATCCGGTTCTGAGGAATGAGAGGGTGCCGAAACGTCAGCCGATAAAGATTTTTAGCAACCTCGTGTTAGCTTATCAATGAAAGCATACGTGTTGACATGTCACACCAAGGTTAAGGAGAAGTCGGTTCCTGAAATATTGTGGCACAATATGCTGACTAGTAATGAAGCCGCTTGCTGCGGAATGGATTGCCCGGGGAATACAAGTCATTACCAATGGACAATCACCATGAAGAACAACAGCTCTGTGTAAAAGAGCAGACCTCAGCGAGATTGCTCATTTGAACAGTGCTGCACTGGAATCGACTCGTGGAATACACAGTTGAAGCCTTACAGAAAGTGGTGAGTGCAAAGAACCTCTTTTGTCCTAAATGCAATTGAAATATAGGTTTCGTGATTTGTCTGTGCTGTTATGGAGGTATTTAGCCGATTATTTTGGAGCCAACTTGACCTCCACAAGTTATGAAGAAGGCGAAATCCGCCTAAACGTCAGGTTTTATGAGTGAGAGAGCATACTACAAACTAGTGCGCATTTATGAAGAGAACAGCGAATTATTGACGAATATTGAGGTAGGTTAATGGAACGTCTGTCTTGAGGATCCCTGATCACAACATTTTCAAGCATCTCGACAACTACTTCACAGAAAGAGCACAAGCCAACGCTGAAAGCGCCTTCGAAAGAATTCGTGCTTCCAGCAATGCCAAAAACGTAAAGATTCCTATGGTTGATACTACGATTAATAAAGTTAACTTTTGGCCGAGTTATATCATTTCACTGCTGTTCAAAAATAGCCACTGTTTTTACAACGATCTGTAATAACTGTCTGTCCTATGTGTTCTTTGCGCGCGAAAGGAGTATAAGGTTTAACTCTAAGATTATCGATTAGGTATTCTTCTATGTGAACTCAAAGTGGTTTACCCGTCATCGTATTCGTACTCGTATGTTTTACAAGAAATTAGGTACACCGTACCCAAACTTATGCAGACGCCGCCCGTACTGTCACGGCAAACTATGCAATTTTGCGTTGTGCATAATAGACCGTTCATACAGACAGTTGCAAACCACCTGGCGTCCGAAAGTGCTCCATGGTATTTCAGTCACTTCAGCTGACTTTTCCAAACCGGTTTTTGTAAAGCAGCTCTTTTAGCTGCATTGATTCCGTTAGACATGAAATACAGTGTGAAGTGGATCATATTCTTGCTAGAATTATCGTTCGGCATCGTTGTTTTCTCACTACACCTATACCATGAGGTAATTGTAGGTTCGCAATTTCTAAAATTTTCATTGTTGCGTTTTGCGGATACTCTCACTTGAATATTTAATTCGCAGTGTGTTCCGAAGCAAAGAAAAACTTCTTCAACATATCCAAAACCTCTCTTAATCACTGAAGTTAAGGAATGAATTAAATTCAATTGAGCTATTTTAACAAATGGATGGAGAATTGTTATAACAGATCTTTAGTTTAATGATATCCTTGCATTTAACTTTAACTTGAAGAAGAGGAAATACTTCTACAACGTATGCACAATTCTTTTGAAGGTTTTCTTGCAATTTTTTTCATATTTTTAACGTATGTTTATTCTAATAACTGATTAGATTAAATCATTACATTTATCACTTGTCTTCGAGCCATGGCAAAACCACCAGTACAGTATTGTAACTGTTTTCCTTCTTATTTTTATAAGACCCATCCTTCGCATCTACTGCGTGGATCCGAGCACTTCTCTCACTGGATTGATTTGCTTGCATCCGTCATCCACTACTTTCTTCCAACTTTTACGTACTCTGAAGCACTAAGATAGTCGAGCTAGAGCGTTCCCAATCAAGTTGCAGACAGCGATTTTTTCTCGGACAAGCCGGCACCATTCACCCGATCACGGACGGATGACAGGCTTAGTGAGCCCGGAGAGAGATCGAACTTGCGTCGTGCTCGTAGTGAGCAGCATCACTACCACTGTGCCATTCACCCTCTGTATTGTAACAAAAATTTGAATAATTGTCAAAATATAATTTTTTAGTTGTCTTCTGTTGGTGTACACTTCTAAGCCTTCATTCATCATATTTTGCAAAATTTTGTATAGGTGGAAGAATCAGTTATTCTCAGAAATTGTTTATCTGCACCTTATTTAACCGTAATATAAAGAACACCACTTCCTACGCTGAATTTTTGCGCCTGAGCTAATGAAGACACGTGCACTGCCAATGGAAACGAGGAGCAAATATGAGTCGTCGCCAACTGAACCGACTGCTGGTATCCTAAATTGAAATCGCTCATTGATTGCCGAACTTAATGGTGTTCATTTTCACCTTCGTAATCTCAACTGCCTAGCGACTTATTTGTGAGAAACTACAGAGAGTCTGTTGCGGTCCTTCAGAACGTGTAGCTATTTCACTTCATTAGTACGTAGTCGGGTGCTTGGATGGCCCTGCTTGGATGGCCCTTACTGGCTGTGCGGGTTCCAGCATAATCTCCATTTTTTCGAAGTTTTTCTGGTTAGCCAGTGTGGTTCCCTGGAGCTCCGAGGTCAGCCTGCTCAAAGCCTGCCTCAGGTTGTCACCATCACAGGCAGTCGCCGCCCTTGTGGATCAGAGGGTGATTTGCCACCATTCGACTAGTTTGATACAAGGACAGTGGTGGATCGTGGTATTGGTTTATTCTTAGATGGGCTTCTTGATGCGAACGCAGGACTCCTTCTCAGCCTAGGAGACCCTGCCCCAGCAGGAAGAATCCCCCCGCTGTACATCGAGCCCGACACCCTGGAACATCTCCCAGCCACGATGGGGCGGTAAACCGTTGGGGGGTTACTTCATTAGTACCTTTCAAAAGCAAAATCTTACTTTCACGATTTTTTTCCGCTTTGTTTTTTTTGGAACTGAACTGTATATAGCTGCAAGAAGTACTCACTCACACTGGTTAAGCGCAATGTAAGTGATTCCTCGACATCAGTCATGTCCCAGTGTTTTTCGAGCTCTGGCTTCTGCTGATCGTTTCTTTGTCTTCTTTAATGATGACGACTTTTTTTCCTAAAATATTGGAATTCTTTGTAATGTTCTAGTAGTAATTTTGAAGAAGTATCGCTTTTGAAGAATTTTCCTCGATTTGTGATTCATTGGCTTCTAAACGTTCACTGCTGTGTCTACTCGATCGTGATAAGCTACGTCGAACCCTCTCGACAAGTTTAGATCCCATGTTTTTAAACGGGTTTCTTCCACCTAAATTGAGAAACAACGTCAAATCACTGATGGTAATAAAAAAGGCACGCATACCACGTGGCAGTGTCGCATACAGCGATTCCTCATCGGCTTTCACTTGACTACTGCTATGTTTAAGTGAACATGGAACATATGCGTCAGTCTGAAAACATAAAATTTCACAAATTGCTATTCCATAAACCTCATATCGGATTCTTAACCTTTCCGTCATTTATATGCCGAGCTGATTCAACTGAGCGAGATTTTCTCACTCCGAAAAATCCTTGCTTTTCCGTAACACAGTTATCATTCGCTTCAAAGGCTTGTGCCATTAATCGAACTGAAGGTTGACCACCTCTTGCTAGTTCTTCTCGTCGTACGCGACATAATATATTCGGTCCTAAATTCCAGTCGTACGAAAGCGATGGCAGAAACCACTGTTTTTGAAATTTAGTACCAGCTCTATTGTTGGAGTAGACACCGCTCTCGCTGGCTCGATCGAACGATGACGCTCGTAGAAAGGAGTATGAAATAGACGACGTTTCTGCTATTTTTTCGCAGTTGGTACCCTTGTTGCTTTCGAGATTGCGCCCATCTAAGAAGGAAAAAAATGTCTTCGTGGGATCATTATCCACCGTTCAATCGCCCAATCTACTATTTTTTTCTAATAGCACAAATTTTGCAATAGTTGCCGAAGATTTTCGCTCCTTCTGGATGAATTATTACAGTGCGATTTTATTCTGAAATGTCTTGACCATCTCTAATTAAGACATCTACTTCTTTCAGCTGGTGCGACTTTTCGCTGCACTATAGATTTTTCGAGCAATTAGATGCATGCAAATTTTCTGTGAATGCATTACTGTGACCAAAAGTCGTCATTGTGACAAGGGTACGTTAACGATGTTCGTTTTTCTTTTCCTTTCCTCAGATTTTTCTCTTATTGAACAAAAGTAGTCATTGCAATTCCTGAACCTCAGAAGCTAGTCATAGTTTTTCGAGTGGTTTTTTGCATTTACGTTTACTTTTGCATGAAAATCGACAAAGAGTTGTTTTTTGATGAGAACGGTGCTTCGTAGTTTTCGGGAATTCTGCAAGTGCATTAGTTTATAAAATTCCACAAACCTGTCGTTTGCATAAATGAAGAATCTATACAGGGGCGTCCCACGAGATGACGAAGGCACCGGTCGAATCCATTGCGACTGTCGGTGCTGAAGAGACAGTGGACATTTACCATTACAGTATTGGCCAATTAAGTGCGTAAGATTGGTGTAGTACAAATGCTAAGGCTGTCCACTAGTTGCTGATCACAGTGTAGAAGTGCTCTATTTTTTCTCTTACTAAATGGAATATAAATGCCAGAACTCACGGGAATTGAAATAATTGACGCTCACATATGCAAAATGTTTCATACTTCCGATCTCACCAAACGTGTTATGTGGTGGATCACGAATAATGATAGAAGTTTTATTTGCCACCAGTTAACTGACAAACTTATGCATTTGCAACTATAGTACAAATATTTCTAATCATCTTAGGTTCAAACCCAGTTGTGACGATCTCGTCTTGAAGGCTCCCAGAACCAGAAAAATTGGAAGGCGATCTGTCGCTTGAAGTAGCTCACGTAGCAGGTTTATTCATTCCAACCCGATTAAGAAAAGTGAGTGCTAATTTGATAGCCTTATGGCATGCTTGGTAAGAATCTTAGTTCAGCAAAAAAAAGGAGCTTTGATGCGTAAACTCTAAACTCATTATACATCACCAACTTTTGGTGAAATTCGCTTACCTTTAATAGCCCTATGCTAGTATTGTAATCGAGTTACTATGGTAGAGAAGAAACCAAGACTAAACGCTGACGTCACGCTGTTTCTACTACCTGATGGTGCTACGAACAGGCATACTGGCCACCGAACGGATACTCATGGACGACTGGCTGACATTATCGTATGTTCCGTCGAACTCGCTCACAGAAGGAGCGTAGCCGTTTCGATCCAGAGATTGTTGCGAGGATGAGCAACGTTCATCACTGAAACCATTCATACTTTTTACATTTATTCGAACAGCATCTTATTAGGATCTCCTCAATGCCAAGTGTTGTGAGGCTTGTCTATTCTAAGGTCAAGCTAAAGCAAAGAGCATGCGAGTTGCATGACATTTCTAACTAATGCACTTCCTTCATCCATATTTCAAATGTGGATTGTCTATATCTGTAGTTCCAAAGCAAATAACTGAACCTCGGTACAATAGTTTGAGCGTCTTCATCTCGAAGAGTGATCAGTTGGCTGATGATGTATTTGAGCCCATCAGGATTGCCATCCCACTCTGATTTTCCACACCGGCGAACCGGATCGGTAACAAATTGCAGCTGAAGCGCACTCTTGAGGTGAAACGAAGTCAGAATACAGAAGGGTCACGTTACCTGGTCTATAATGCTGCTGAGTCGATATTTTCTGGTTAACCTTTGCAACTCATTGAGATGTACAATTTGCTGAAGTCGTGAGGCTCCTGCCTCCAATATTTCACTGGCAGCCGTTTGACTGTCCTTCTTTTGGCTGAGATTCTTTAGTTCTATTTCCAACACTCTCACTTGTTCACGAAGCTTAAGAATAAGGCAATTAAACCGAACTGTATCGGTAACAGCAGTAACTATTAAAAGTTAGAATTAATCATAGAAAAATTGACAACGTTCACACCTCTGTAACCATTTTATCATAGACTATTTTTTCTTGCTGGAATTCTTCGCCCATTACTCTCAATTTGTCTTTCAATCTTTCCGTCTCTTTTGAGTAGAATTTCTCACAGTCCCTTAATTGTGTCTGCAGATGCTCCATTGTTCGGAGGTCGTCGTCGGACAGCTTCTCGTTCCGACCTAAAAAGATTCAATGAAAATCGTATGGACAATTTTTAATTTATGGGACACTTTCCTCGGGCTCGATCAATTTTCCACAAAATTTGATCCGCCTTCCTGGCTTCCTTAGTGAGTCTTAAATCTGTGTGCGTACGCTCCAATTCTGCTTCAAGTTCGGAAAGGTTCTTTTGCTGAAATTTCGCATTACATTATGGTGTTATTGAAAGTAATTATTAAAATATTTTGAAAAAGGCAAAAAAAGCACAGAGAGGTAAATCTTTTCGTCCCTCAGTTGTTTAATCCTCATCGTGGTTGCGTAGAATTGGGTATACTGGGGTTCTGTCCACCAGCAACTTTTCTCAAGCTAACAAAGGGCTCAACATTCCCATTCCAAAACCCTGTTAAGAGCACAGTTTTAACTTATTATTTACTGCCTACTTTTTTAATGGCAGGGTGTGTTGCGAAATATGATTTTAATGATGCTGAGATACTTGAAAAACTCCGGACCATAAGTGTCTGCGGTGGGGAACGAACGCGCTATTGTCCTTTCCGGGAAGTAACGCGTTCACCATCACACCATGCGGGTCCTTCGTTTCGCCTGTCTCTCAGCTAGTTCTATCGATCTTTTGCCATAAGCAACCACCCGTCAGCGGGATTAATCTGGGAGCCCAAATCGGTAACAAACCTAGTTTAAGCTGAGGGTGTAGTTGTAGTCACATTTTTAAGTTATTATTTATAACCTACTCTTTTTAATGGCAGGTTCGTGATATAACTGCTAAGAGTAATCCACTGGAAAAAATCACTACCATCATGGCAGCATCAGTGAATGGATGGGAAATGGTGAGAACTTGAAAAAGCTCTGAGACTCTCTGAAGACTCCAGAGAAGGAAAATATTTCCTATCGAGCAATTTATCGGATAATTTGACACTGTGCAAAGACGCACACAATTCATCTGGTTTCGTGAGGACGTGTTGTTGGAGGAGTTAAATATTAGCCTAACTTCCTCTCCTAAAAAGATATAAAACGCCTTATTACTTATACGGCCTTGATTTGCCTGAAGTCACTTTAATGAGTGCAGGTATGATAATACATACCAGGGAAATTATTTTTTCCTGCGCTTCACTAATCTTCTTCTCACGCAAGCTGTTTTCTTTTTGGTCATCCTGCACTTTGCGTTCAAAGTTTGCCAGCGCGTCCTTATGTGTATCCCTTTCTCTTCTTGCTAGGACAAGCTGAAATTATGGCAATGTCAGAAAAAATTTGGAAAGCGGTATCGAGGTTAAACTATAGCTATCTTCGTTGGACCTGCGAATGAAGTGATTTATTAGTATCTTCCATAATTCGCATTCTGCTGGAAAATTTTTGTTGTAAAGCGTCCATTTCAACCATTCGAATCTAAAGTACACGAACATAGAAGCTATTTTTGAAGAAGCTTCTGAAGAGAAGGGAAAGAAACCATCACGCACCTTTTCAGTTTGCCGAGCTTTATGCTGGTGAGCTTCTTTGTCTTTTTGCCAACCTTGCTTAGCTTTATTCAACTGATCAAGCAGATCAGTATTTGTCATTTTTATATCTTCTAGCATAGCTTCATTTTCAGAGCACTGGAAAGCAATGCTAAAGAATGGAAGAAAGTAGGAAAGAAACGGCATTAGCCATTTGAAAAGAACTTCAGCCACCTTCTTCTCGTAGACAGCCAGCTGCTTCTTTAATTCAATAACGTGGATCCTATCGCTCTCATGCCGGCTTAGGTTCGAAGGGGCTTCATGGTCAGAATCGTTAACAGATGCTTAAAGGAATTAGTAGTATTTTTGGAAATCGCTGTAGAGGAAAAATTCCAAAGTGAACTAGAATTTTGCAAAGAAAACACGTATATCTGAAGATAGTGTTCTTTTCTTACGAAAAATATTAACGTCAACACTAACCGTTTTCGTCGTGTTCGATTCCGTCTTCACTTCTGTACGCCACTAGTTGTTTTTTCAAGGACGCTATTTCCCTTTCTAGCGCATCCTTCTCATTTTTCCACATTACTTCTTTCTTCTTGAAATCCTGTGAAGTGGTTCCTGAACAGCTCCGTGCGGTTTTTTTTCACTTTAGAAAAATAACCTTAAATAACTTGCTTAGTAGCTCTTCAGCGTCCTCAGTAAACTTTTTCAGTGCGATAATCTCATTCTTGCACCGGCTCCGCTCACTGTTCATTTTTTCTCTTTCCTGGTCAAAAATGCTCTCCAACTTTTTGTACTTAATTTCAAACTCGCGTACGGACTTCTGATTCTGCTCTAATTCCTGGAATCGCGAGCATTTATAATATGTACCTGTGCTTAAATACTGGTTAAGCTGAAGTAAATGATTAGTGAAAGTGTTTTATGAGATGGACCATTCAGAATGTTATGCAACCACATTCAGGCTCCGCACAGACATTTTCACTTCGTCAGTGCAGCAACTCCATTAATACAGACAGTCCAAGGCAAATGCAGAACTTTATTCGTAGTAGTTCAGCCCTGTTCAAGGGTTGCTATCTATGGCATGAAATTAATGCAGCATTTTCATTATCTGCAATTTTTAACTTTTCCCGAACAAGCCTTTGTTTTTGATCGACCACTTGAATAACACTTGTCCAAACTATGTGAAGTAAAGCCGTTCTCCAACGGCGCATCTCTAGCCCGACAAAGCCACGTGCTGGCCAACGTCTCCTCCAACCATCTGCACATATGTTGTCGTCTCTGCGTCCTCCAACACTAATCTAGTGCGGCATTGTGGATCCATTCTGTTGTCTGCACAGAACGAGCTAGAGCACTCATGGCTTCGTTCCAAACTAAGCCGACGTCTTTGTTTCTCGCTGAACGAGGGCTGAGCTCTTGTCTGGTATGATAGAGCATCTGGTTATCTTTTCCGACCTCGTTCACCTGTTAAAATAACATCAATAACACACAAAGCAGTGTTTAGTTGGTTCGCTTGCATTTTCAGACTGATATGGAGTTCATCGAATCCAGAATTTGAGGAATTTCAGCACAGATATGTATTCATCAATAGTAGACTAGTGAGACCAGAATGCCATTGTTAATTTGTTTTCAGGCGTTTCTCCAGCTTACATCGCCTGTTCGTCCACATGCATTTGTGAAACACGCGCTTGATGATGGCAGCGAAGACAAACGTACCGCTCCCGAGTAAGTCCTACTGGAGTTGTTGATGGAAAACATGAGGAAACCCATTAGTACATTGCTACCTTAATTTGCCATCAGCGATACTAATGGATTTGCTTCTAATATTTTAAAAGCACCTATTTATTAAAATTGCATTAGTAGTTAACCAGCTCAGAACAATCAAAGCTGCGTTTCCATAAGAATTTTTGGTAGAAGAGTACGTTTTTGAAAGAGGAACACGGTTCTTTCTCGTTTATCGAAAATCAGGAACTGGACTTTTACCTGTTTCTCCCTTTTTTGTTCTTCAAGCTCACGTTGTAGACGACTACATCGTTCCTCCTGTTCTTCCAGTGCTCTGGTTTTCTCCATAACAGTGAAGTTTTTAGATTGCAGTAACTGATTCTGCTCTTCGACCTGTATTTTGCTATCTGTCAATCGGCAACTGAGGCTCTTAATCTGAAAGTTATTAATACTTAGCATACGAACAATATACTTAAAACTTCCTGCATGATCAAACCTCGTTTTCGAAAATTTGCCTTTGCTTTTCGATTTCAATTGTCCACCGGTCCTCTGTTTGGAGAATCTGAAGTAAATCAGTACAGTCGAATTGTGTCGTCGTTCGCAATACGAGTTGACCGACAGGACTCACTTGATTAGTGAGGTCTTTGTTCTTTTTTTTATAGAAGACTATCTCATTTTGTTGTTCATCGATGACTCTCTGGTTCTCCACGCATCTGGTGCATATCGTGTTTTGCTGTGGTGTCTGCTCTCGGACCGGTGTTCGCCTTACAAATGTTGGATTGCTCCCCTTAAATTTTTGAATGATGGGTTGCATGCATGTACATTATTTTAGACTTTTCACTAATCGTTAAGCTCATTATAACGTTATGCAATTGAGAAATTTCCATGAACATATGTCATCCATGCTGAAAATAAGTTCCAAATTTTCAACAAATTTCACTCGGAACCTCAGCTAGGAGTGAGCTAACTCAGCGGTGGAGAACTACTAGCTACACGAATCGACTTATCATCTGGAACAACGAAAGTGGAGTAAATTGGGTTATATACAAGCGACTATATAAATGTATCTATAAGCATAAAATTTTTATTCTTATATTTACAGCCTCATCGTAGGTGGGAGGTGTTCCTGGGTGTCGGGGTGCGATGTACAGTGGAGAGATTCAACTCCTACGCCTGGAAAGAGTCCGGATTCTCCATCAGGATGCGCATTAGAGTAAACCAATACCAAGGTCCACCACAGTTCTGGTATCAAACTATTCCCATGGCGGCAAATTTCCCCCTGATCCACAAGGGCGGCTGATACCTTTGGTGGTGACGACTGGGGCAAATGTTGGCCAGGCTTACCTCGCGACTGCGGGAAACCACAATGGCTAAACCAGCAAAACTCCGAAAAAGTGGAAATTATGCTGGGGCTCGCACAACCAGTGAAGACGGGTCATCCAAGTATATAGGATATAAAACATAAAGCTTTTGGCGTTAATCAATCCCAGTGGAATGTGCAATGCATTCGTCTTAATGGGGCATCGTTTGAGAAGAATAAATGCATGTCCTGCACAAACGACGACATCCGAAAATATACTGATCCGTTATTTTAGAGTTTTCACTTTCCTAGAAAGCCCTGCTGCTAATCAGACAAGCTCGGAGCGATGGAAAGCTTGGTGAGCAAAGCGTGCGGGATCGAACGAACGATCACGTATGTAATATTTGTGCATATATTTGGAAATATGTATATGGTGTGGTTATAGTAGTGGTGCTCACTCGAGCCATCCTAAACAGGATTGAGAGAACACTAGACGAAGGATAGCCATGTGAGCAAACAGGGTTCCGAAAAGGATTAGTACGATGGACCACATCCACACGGTAACAAGGCTCATTGAAGTATCGCGAGAGTACGAAGGACCGCTCTGTCTCACTTTTAACGACTTACAGAAGGCCTTTGATTTCGTTAAGATAAAAGCAGTCTTGGAAGCCGTTGATAGTCAAGGAGCCCTACTCAGTACATAAAGGTTCTTCGTGAGCTGTACAAAAAAATCACAGCCAAGGCAACGATATTAACATTGACGTCAAAAGAAGAGTTAGGCAAGGCGATACCATCTCGCCAAAATTATTTACCGCCACACTCCAAAACATCGTGCGAACATTGGAATGGGATAAAATGGGATTGAAAATCGATAGTCGGCAGTTACACCATCTTCGCTTTGCTGATGATATCGTCCTTATAACACCAAACATTAATCAGGCGGAACGTATGCTTGATGGCTTTGATAAAGCCTGTGGAATGGTTGGTCTTCGACTAAATCTCACAAAAACGATGTTCATGAATAACGAATTGGCTTTGCATGCCCTATTCACGCTCGACGGAACGAATGTCTCCGAATGCCACAGTTATATCTATCTAGTCCGGGAAATCAATGTGATGAACGACCTAGCTTCAGAGCTGAGCAGAAGGATACGAGCGGCTTGGGGAGTTTTCAAGAGCATTGAGATTGTAGTGAAGAAAACAAAGAACACACGACCTGCCCACCACTTCGACTCAACGGTACTTCCTGCCCTAACGTATGCCTCAGAAACCTGGTCGCTGCGTAAGCAGGATGAAAGGTCACTCAGCTTTATCGAACGCGCAGTCGAAAGGCCAATGCTAGGAGTATCCCGTCCCGCACAAGTAAGGGATGGGATCCGAAACTCTGACTTGCGTCAACGATCAAAAATCAAATGATGCCGTTCTGTACGCCAAACAGTCGAAGATAAGGTGGGCCGGACACGTAATGCGTATGAATGACAACCGTTGGACACGAGCCGTTAGTGACTGGATTCCTCGGGATGTCAAACGTACTGCAGGAAGACCACTGACCCGATGGCCAGAGTTCTTCACAAAGAGCCTTGAAGAAAGATATGAATCTAGGCGAGTCCCTAGAGCGACCAGAACCCACTGGGCTGCTCTTGCACGCGACAGGGAAAAATGGAAGATTTACAGGCGCCCACTCGAGTTACTTGCCGATCAACGGGACTACTGATGATACAGGTGACATATACATACACATATATGTGTATATATTGAGGCGCAATATATCAACTGAAAAAATGTACCCCATCTAATTAATAAGCCAATATGAAGGTACTGGCAAACATTTATTTGGTTAAAGTGTCGACGTTTTTGTCATTGTCATGAAAGTGGTGCATCACTAAAGAAAATTCGACTCTATACAACCCCGACGACACAATATCGAGAAGACGAGCGACTGTGGACCATTGACTCAGATCATTTCCTCTAAGGAAGACGTCGAAACGTCAGTCGAATAAATGTTTGGTGACAACCTCATGTTAGCTTATCAATGACCTAAGGAACACTGGTCATTTATACGGAGGTTAATTGATAGCGGGTTCACAATAGCATTACTTCGCTCTGAACAAAAACCGCTGAATTCGTTAATAATAGAGATGACTGCACAGCTATACATAAGAGGCCACCATTATTTTTGCATTATTTTAATACAAGTACCTTAATGTTGTCCATAATTATATGAACGTTTTTGAGCTCTGTGAGTAGATTAGCCAGCTCGGCTATTATGGTGGCACTGCTGTCTTTAGACAAAGATCGCCTGCGTTCATCCTAAACATAGCATCGAGTTCATGGAAGAATATCAGTAGAAAACGACGGGTAATTGTACCTTTTGAGCCTGATCAATTTTCTCAACTTGTTTGCACAATCTGGTAGTATGAGATTCAATTGACGCCAAAACTTCACAGCATTGTTCTATCTGAAGAATGGGTTATCTTAGTTTAGTATTACCTCATGTTTATTTTCAATCATATTAATATGTTAGCAGTACTTCAGACTATAACAGAACGGTTTACTTATTCATGAGACCAAAATTTATTACATTTGTGTGTATCTATAAAATATTGTGCGAACAAACATTGTTGGAATTCTAACCTCTTTGGGGGATATTTGACTCGTGCAGAAATCTAGAAGGAGTACTGAGGTGCAAATGACTGCTATAAAGTTCTTCATGGGTATTGCTGGAATGAGGCCTACCTCGTCAGGAGCAGTCGCTTTTCCTTGCAGTTCCCTAATGATGGACGCGGCTTTCAGCTCACTGTTATCTTTCTCTAACATTTCTATCCGTTTTTTTAACTCGCTCTAAAAACATTGGTTATGTGTATCTTCTTTAATTTATATATATATGCTTTGTGTACGTACCATATAGTTTTCATTATCGCAATTCTTAGCGGCCTTTTTATGTAGGTTATTGCATCGTTCATTCACCATTGCTTGTTGAGTATTAAGCTGTTCGATCTTGAAAGAAAAAAGTGTCAACAATAGAAATGCCCTTGCTGATGTGAAAGAGGATCACCATCATGAAAGTTCATACTTACCTTGGTTGCCAAGGCGATTATCTTCTGGTTGTCCGTTTTAAGCAACATATGCTTCAGTTCGACGATTTCTGCTTCCAGAAGTCGAGATCTCTCCTTCTCACTGCGGAGATCAACTGTATCTTAAAGAACTCTGTCTAGCTTTTAAAAACAGTAGCACTATTTTTTACTTATATAAACAAGGGAAGTACCGGCCCTCGTTATCGAACTGCTACTCTTGGCTTCATAATTCTTCAAATGAAGATTGAGCTCATGGTTCTTCCGTTCCAAATCACTAATAGTTGCAATCATTTTACCCATATCCCTCTCCATTTCTTGAGTCAGGTTGAACTAAAAGACGTAACATAGCCGTCATGATGAAAAAATTTCAAGTAATGAAAGAATTTCTGACCTCACCACCACTGGGGCGCCCTTCGACATTTGAAGCTCTTTGCATACAGTCCGTTTCTAACTCAATAATTCTACAATAAGAAAGTTGGTGCCTAAGGAATTTTTTTCGTCACACGATACAGTTTCATATCCTACTTCTTCAATAGGTGATCGTTAGTTCGCTCCAGTCGATCTATTTTGGTCGACAGATGCTCCACTTCATGCTCTGCCAACTCGAGTTGAAGATGAGCATTGCCTTCGCTAAGATGAACGTAAAAATAACCTACGACTAAAAAGAAAATAGAAAACTTTGCAAAGAACATAGGGTGTTATTACTCCAGCCTCTATTTTTTCGAGTGCATTCGTAAGGACTATTGGTACAAAAAACCTATAACCACATTGAGACGATTTATAACAGTCCATCGGTCATCTAGAACGCCGGTTCCACGCTAATAACTACAATTATTGGAAAAGTAGAGCCCTTCAAATACTAAGCATGCGATGGGCTACATTTCTTTTCCAATCCATTAACAAATTCGGTTATGTATTACTCTAACTATTATTCGCTGCCTTAAATCGTGTTTTCCATTACACAGAAGGTGTCTAACATTGCATTAGTGTATAAAAATTTTTCAAACAAAGTGTCGAACTGATAAATGTTCGCATCTAAATGGCTAACGGACTAACCTCGCTGATCGCACCATCGGAGGCCTCAGTTTGGCAGATTTTGACAGCTTCTTCAACAGCACCTCATTCTCGTTTTCCACTTCCTATCAACATTAACAAAGCCAAGATATTTTTCCGACACACGCATTTAAAATTGAACGTTTCTGAACGTTAAATATGGAAGAAAAGGCAAAATGCTTGAAGATTTTGTAACTCATAGCGTTACTGTACGTACATGTTGAGGTACTAAGATGGAAAAGGATAAAGTATTCGACATTGATTAAACCCTAAAGGATTTTCAAAGCAATCAACTTTACGAAGTATCGTAGATGAGTGATTGCATGTCTAGTCTAGATAACGACTTGCGAAAGCCTACCTATATACCATGTTGGTGCTGCTATCCCCCACAGAGCTCTAGTATTAATTTGGTGACCGCAGATTGATGAAGGCTTGGTTAGCCCAAAGCACGGGATCAAACTTCACGCCCACGTGTTTATTAGAAGCGTGACTTTAATCAGGACGGCAAAAGAATGGAAGGATAAAGCTCTCGACGTTGATCAATCCCTGTGGGGTGAACCATGCATTCGAATTCCTTAAGCATCTCTAGTGGTGACTGAATGCATAAATATCGTTTACAATGGCTCGCGGTGGCCTACCGGTGTATCGAACCAGTGCTGACCCAGAAGGAATGGAGGGCTTTGTGGGTCAGTGGTGACCGAACCGACCCCATGTGCACTGCAGGGGCCTCCAACCACTGCAGTACACTTATCCACCGTCCACTGCGGTACATGACTACTTTGAAGTAATTCCTTCTATTAATTTCTATCATCCTACCAACGGATTGCCGCCTCATCGTGGCTGGAAGGTGTTCCTGGGTGCTGGGCTGCGATACAAAGCGGACGCATTCATCTCTCTGGCAAGGTCTACCAAGCTGAGAACGAGTCTTCATTAAGAAGAACGTCTTCATTAAGAAGCCTAGTTAGGAGTAAATCAGCACCAGAGTCCGCCACCATCTTGGTATCAAAGTCGCATGATGGCAAACTTCTCTCTGATCCACAAGGACCGCGACGGAATGTGGTGGCGACGACGTGGGGCAGACTTTGGCCAAGCTGACCTTGGGATTCCAGGAAACCACAATGACTTAAGCAGTAAATCTCCGAAAAACTGGAGATTATGCTGCGGCCCGCACAACCAGTGAGGACGGGCTATCCAAGTATCCAAGTAAGTAATTCCTAGCGTTACTCTATAACTAGCATTCGCTGGAAAAGAAGGAGCTATAAAAAGCAGGCAGATTAAAAATGCTTAGATGAAAACAAAAATCTAGCATTTCATACGAGTTATATTTCGCAACATAACCTACCATTAAGAAGGAAAAAAGGCAGTAAATAAAAGAGTTAAAATCTAGTTTTTCTTCGACAGATTTTCTCTAAAGTCTACATTTTGGTGTATACGGCATGGGTATACGCCTAACGTGCCCCACACTTTATGCGTATAGAAATTAAATCGCGCGATCTCTTGTGCTCTCTAAAAGCTGGCTAGCCTTTCCGTATTTTCTGCTCCATGATTCGCCCTTTCATGCTTTGTCAACATTCCATGTAAACTTCGTGCTCTTCTGTGTATACGTCTGCAGTCTTCCCATCTTTTATAAGGTGAAAAACCGGTCTATCATATAATAAAATGCTGTCAAAAGTTAACAGCTGCCTTTAGTAGAATGGTATCCTTTTTATATCTTTCTACATACAGTCATTTTATACAAGGGAACGCGGGTAACGTAGTGGTAGAGATGCCGTTCACTAGTTCGAGCTCATGGAATATTGTTACCAGACTTCTTTGAGAAGGGCTCTCTGTAATCCCAAATGTTGGGAACCCCTGTGACGAAGACCTAGAAGCGCACTAATATGGGTATCCCAGGATTTCAGAGAGAATATTTTGAGTAGTATTAGACCATGTTCATAAAGAACATCAAAATTCTCAACTAGCATCAGAACCAACACGAAAAACGATCACTACGTACTGTCATGAAGGCACTTAAAAATGATTGAAAATGTTCACCATGTGTGGAATAGCTATCAAAGGGAACTAGAGATAAGAATTGCACAGCGTGACTTTATGGTAGTTTGCCGATTCCTTCAGCATCCAGTTGTTTTTTTTTACCTACTAAACTAGGAGATTGGTATGCATTTTTACTAACAAATCTGCTTACTTTCAATCGTTGTTGTGTTCGCTTGAGATCCTCTTCGGCAAATTTCAGCTGTTCACGGCTGTCGATTTCTCTCTCAAGTGCATCCCGCAACTCCTTGCTCACTTCACCATCTGACATTTGGGGCATAGATGCGGCTAATTCGGCTGACAGCCTTTTCTGCATATGAAGACGATTAAGTAGAGAAGAAAAAGAAAAGAAAGAAGCCAAAGATTTTTATGCATTTAGTTGTGTTGTTTAAGAGTTAAAAGAAGGAGGCTGTAGAAGGAAACCTAAAGTTGTTTCCCCAATAGTTGTCAATTGTTTCATACTTAAAGAATTGTCAATCAACTCAATAGGGCACAAAGGCTTAAGTCGCCCTAGGCATGCCTCATAATATCCGTTGAGTTCATGTTACTAGAGAACGCAGAAAGTTACCAAGGCTCCATACCTTTACTATTGCACTTCCCTTTGCTGCATAATTCTGAGCTGTGCTAAGCGGCCTTTTTGCTGACGATAAATATAAAGATACTATCAGTTATGTTTAATGAAATTCCACTTCAGCTGAGTGGAGGCATGTGGAAATCTACAGTTCAAGATCCGCTTTTCTTTTTGCATTAGCCTAGTAGAAGCAAAATTCGTTCAAACACATTACCACAGCCACATCGGTTTTGTTTCGCGCCTCCCTCCATTTGTTTTGCGTTTGCAATTCACGGACTTTTTCTTTCATATAAAATAATTCATCTTCTAATTTGTAGCGTTTCTCCTCTGATTGCTCGAGTTCGGTGTGTAATCGGACCGAAACCTAAGCAAATAGTTGGTTGCCTTTCTATTATTAGTAACTCAAATTTCAAAACGCACGGACATAAATACCTCTTTGGCGATCCTCAGCTCAGATTCCAATTCCCTCACTCGAACACCATCTGATTGCGTTGATAGCGCAGTCTCGTCAGAAGTGCTTCCAGTTAGGGCCTATATACGGGCTAATAGGTTGGTGCAAAAAGCCATTTTCGTTGCTGTGAGTTTACAAGCAGAGTTAGTAGAAAGTATCTTTTGCCTTTATTTTGCTACTGCTGTGTGTAGCTTACTTTTTTCAAACCAATTACCACGTAATACTTTTTTAATAGATGCTTTCGAGGCAAGAAATCCATGTCGTTTTTCTTCGTGGATATAAACAATTACATATTCCAGCAGAAGTAGCTGGAAATGTCAGCATAGCATGAGGCCAGAACGTGAATTCCGAACCAAAATGTGCAAATTGTACTAAGTGCTTCGCATCGGAGATATGAGTTCCAACGATGGGGAAAGTCGTGAGCTTCCATTAGCTGTTGACGAGGACCATTAGAAGTCGATAATGAGAGCTGACTTTCTGCAATCTATTCAAGAGGTTGCACAAGAACGAAACGTCTACTAACCATAAATATTTTGACATTTGAAGAACACTGGAATGGTGAGAAATTTCGATCAATTAATAAATTTTTCTCATACGAGTTGCACCAAAAACAAAGAAGTTGTCACTATAAGATCTTCCCTGCCTTCATTTTTCAAAATCGAGGAAACACATTTATCTATCGCACTGTGAACTCGCTGCAGTGGTTGAACCAAAGCGAGAATCCTAAACACTTTAGAGAAGCGACATTTGTAGCGAAGGAAGGTTGATGGTGGTTGTTAGCTTTGATTTATTTTGCTGTAGCGCTACATTGCAACTTTTTGAATCCTTGTTAGTACAATGATTCGCTGTTCTTTTGATAAGCACGCATAAGGTTGTCATTTCACTTGTTTATATAGTATATACATATATCAGTAGTATAAGTTTTACACACATACCTGTTTTCGTATCACTTTCAGTTATTATGTGAGACCACGTGTAACAACGAGGCATTCCTGCCTGTGGTTGTTTCAAGTGGAGATTCGAGTGATCCGAATGAGTTTTTTCATTCGGACGGTGCTATACTGGATTCGAATCGATGCAATCAGGAAGATCCAGATCGGGTGAAGGAGAAACCGTGGACAGTCGACAGGGATCAATCCGGCTCTGAGGAAAGCGGTGTAGCCGAAACAGCCGAACAAAGTTGTTTACCAACTTCGCGTCACCCTATCAATGAAAAAAACATGCTGACTAGTCACACCGAAAAGTCGGTTCCTTAAATATTGTTGACAATATGCTGGCTGCTAATGATACCGAATTCTGCAGAATAAATTGTCCGGATAAGACAAGTCATTATCAACGGGCAATCACCAACAACAACAACCGTTCTGTATAGAAGAACACAGCCGAGCGAGATTCTTCATTGGAGCGGTGCTGCACTGGTTCCATGGAATACACACACACAGAAAGCGGTGAGTGTGAAGAAACTCTTTTGTGTCAAATTCAATCGAAATCTAGATTTGGTGATTTTACTGTTGAGGCTATGCTCGTTTTTTGCCGACTCAACTCAAAGTCAACTTGACCTTAACAAGTTCTGGAGAAGGCGAAATCCGCCTAAACGTCAGGTTTTATGAGTGAAAGAGCATACTAATAAACTAATATGTATTCTTTCTTGATAAGCTTGCACGAGGTTGATAAATATATTTATTTTCGGCTAACGTTTCGACGTCTTCGTCTTCCTCAGAGCCGGTGATCCGAGTCGATGGTCCATGCTTGTTGTTCGCCTCGACGTTGCGTCTTCGCCTTCCTGTCGAGCCAGATCTTCCTCAGCGAGCCATCTTCTCGAATGAGGCATCCTCACTCAGTGATGCCCTTTTATACACGATGCTGATGGTGGATATATAATGACAATGTCCGGTGGTAACAGCTTGTATTTCTTCCGGACATACATCATTGCGCACATCGTGCAGAGGTCGGTGTGTTATCAGCTAGCACAAAGCGTAGTAATATTTCGAAACCGACCTTCCCTAAACCTCGGTGTGACAAATCAATATGTATTCTTTCTTGATAAGCTTGCACGAGGTTGATAAATATATTTATTTTCGGCTAACGTTTCGACGTCTTCGTCTTCCTCAGAGCCGGTGATCCGAGTCGATGGTCCATGCTTGTTGTTCGCCTCGACGTTGCGTCTTCGCCTTCCTGTCGAGCCAGATCTTCCTCAGCGAGCCATCTTCTCGAATGAGGCATCCTCACTCAGTGATGCCCTTTTATACACGATGCTGATGGTGGATATATAATGACAATGTCCGGTGGTAACAGCTTGTATTTCTTCCGGACATACATCATTGCGCACATCGTGCAGAGGTCGGTGTGTTATCAGCTAGCACAAAGCGTAGTAATATTTCGAAACCGACCTTCCCTAAACCTCGGTGTGACAAATCAATATGTATTCTTTCTTGATAAGCTTGCACGAGGTTGATAAATATATTTATTTTCGGCTAACGTTTCGACGTCTTCGTNACCATCGACTCGGATCACCGGCTCTGAGGAAGACGAAGACGTCGAAACGTTAGCCGAAAATAAATATATTTATCAACCTCGTGCAAGCTTATCAAGAAAGAATACATATTGATTTGTCACACCGAGGTTTAGGGAAGGTCGGTTTCGAAATATTACTACGCTTTGTGCTAGCTGATAACACACCGACCTCTGCACGATGTGCGCAATGATGTATGTCCGGAAGAAATACAAGCTGTTACCACCGGACATTGTCATTATATATCCACCATCAGCATCGTGTATAAAAGGGCATCACTGAGTGAGGATGCCTCATTCGAGAAGATGGCTCGCTGAGGAAGATCTGGCTCGACAGGAAGGCGAAGACGCAACGTCGAGGCGAACAACAAGCATGGACCATCGACTCGGATCACCGGCTCTGAGGAAGACGAAGACGTCGAAACGTTAGCCGAAAATAAATATATTTATCAACCTCGTGCAAGCTTATCAAGAAAGAATACATATTGATTTGTCACACCGAGGTTTAGGGAAGGTCGGTTTCGAAATAATAAACTAATGTTTAGAATTACTGACGAATGCCGAGGTTAATGGAGCTTCTGCTTTAGGGATTCCTGATGACGACGTTTCCAAGCATGTCGGCAACTACTCTGCAGGAAAACCTTGAATGACCACAAGCCAATGCTGAAAAATGCCTTCGAAGGAATTCTAGTACCCAAAAATCGCAAAAGTGAGTGGATTGCAGTGGTTGGTAGTACGATTAACTAAGATACCTTTTGACTGCCGTTCAAAGAAGGGCATTCTCTTTGCATAGACCTAATAACTGTCTAAAGCGTTCTAAACATTCATCGAAAAGTTTTGCGAACAAACTTACATTTAGTCTACTTTGTAATTGTAATTTTTCAGCGTCTGTCTGCTCTTTAATCCTTTCCGCTTTACGTAATTTGAACTGGAGTATGCGGCAGTTCTTTGCATTTTGCTCGAGCTCTCGTTGTAACTCTCGGAATTCTTCTATCTCTTCTTCTCGATATTGATCCTTCAATAGTAATAGTTCCATAGAGCAGTAATTAGTTACAATAATAATTCACCTGCATTTCTTCAATTTCCTGTTGCAGGTCTCTAATTTCTGCTTTGAGGCTCTCGTTCTCCTCCATTAGCTCGTCGCACAAAGCTTCAGTGCTTGTAATCTTTTCCCTTAACTTGGCATCCGAATTAGCATAAGTTGTCTCCTATAAATGAGCCCATGAATTTTTTCCACAATCATCATTTATCCGTTGCCGACAATACTTGCCTGCAAATCACGGAGCTCACATTTGAGAACAGTGTTCTCATCCCGATAATCCTGAATGCTGTTTTCCGCTTCATTCAACCGTTCCTCTAACATGGCTACCAATGACTGCTCACTTGTATCTTGGGCTTGGCCTAAGCATCGTCGCGAGCGTAGTTCTCGCTCTTCCTGTAATTCGTGTCATACGGGTTGAAGCTGAGGTTTCACCGAACTCCGTGCTAGGTCGACGCTTGACGTAATAACTCTCCTACCACTTAATATACTATCAGTGAAACTCAACTTCAACTTTTTGTTGTCTTCTTTAAGCTTTCGAATTTCTTCCTTCATTGATAATATGAGCGAATGCTGAAAGTTTCATATCACTAGAGAAAATCATAAAAAGCATTTGACTATTTCATAGCTAGTGCATATTTTACAGTTGTTATCCCAGAATAGTACATAACGATTCTACTATACGATGACTCTTCTTTTTTCAATTCTCCACTTCACTTTGGTGTACATTCTTGGCTCTCATATAACGCTCGAGATGCATTGTCCATAATGTGTGCGTGGAAAGCAAACTGCTCAGAGTGCATCGTATAAAGTGGAGTTCAGTTATAGTGATTCGTTTTGATATAAAGACCTTTCTAGAACAATTTTTGTACTCCTTTGATAGCCTACCCAACAAAGTTGTTATGTCAGACATCGCCCATGAAATGCTATTCTGTACACCTAATGATTTACAAAAGCCTTTTTCCGACTATTGTTGTTGAGGAGCGTACGCAGTAAAACGAAACCTATCGGTGATGAGGGAGCAGAATTGTCGCTGCTTGAACACCGACATTCGGTACCGAGAGAGATCACACCTTTCCGCTACGATAAAATTACGAGTCACTGAGATGATGTGAAGGAGCCATCAAATCCTGCTGCGACAACCTTCTACCCTTGTTTTAAACGTTTTACTTAAGAATATTTATTTCACAATCAAGCCTTATATATAAATAACAATCTTTTACACAGGCTGCATTTCTTACCAACGACCGACAGTTTTGACATAAAGCCTTCAGTTATCACATACATACAAACCTTAGATCGCATTTACATAATTTCTAAAGTTCTACACTATTTTGATCACTACTGAAACATTCTAAAAGGCACGTATGGTGCAGTGGTCAGAGGCACTCTACAACACACATGGGATTGAACCCCGTTCCCGTGGCTCGCCAAGCATTCCATCCCTCCAGGGTCAGAAATTTGGAACCAGACTTGTCTGGGAGGACAGTAGCATTGGTTCGATACATCGGTAGGCCACCGCGAGTCATTTTAAAGGTTATGTATGCATTCAATCACCTTTAAATGATGCTTAGTGAAGTCGAATGCATGGCGCGTTCTTTAGGGATTGGTCAACGCCGGGAGCTTTATCCTTTTATTATCCTTTATTGAAACATTCCAGTTAATAATTCAAAGCACCGACTTTCTATGAACCTCGGCTAGTCAACATTTCTAACTACTCGGATATTACCTCTAGCATTCAATCGTATCTACAGAATTAATTCAGTTAATGAAGTCAAGTTCACTGCGTACCTTTCAAGGATTGGTCAAAGTTGAATTCTTTATCGTTTATCCATACATTTAAACAGTCTAGACAATAAATCTCAGTATAACAGCTGCACCTAGTAGCAACCTGATTACCATGTTTTGCAGGGTATTTACCGTTGCAATGTCTTGATATCGCTAATATCGTTCCATACTGCACGACTGATGTGCGTTATTGAAGGATAAGAAAAGTCAGCGTGGAAACCCTCCCGTGTCCAGCGTTACGCAAGTTTGCATCATGTTGAAGTGACGTTTCGTGCATTTGCTTACTACAGATCTTCCATGAGACTCTGTCCACGGCGAGATTCCTTTCGTTGTAAAAACGAAACGACAATGTGTTCAGCAGCGATCGAGATGTGCTAAGCATTCAACTTCATCAATAGTCGTAAAGTTGGTTGAATGCAGATCTAGCCTGCACAATACTTGGAGTATCCTACCAATGTTTCAAGTCAGCGCTGCTTTCCTTACAGACAAGTCTGGTACAATTTGCAGGCACTGGAAGGATGGAGGGATTGGTTAGCGCGAGGCGTATAATCGAACCAACGACCCCGTATGCCGTAGAAGGCATCTCTAATGATTACACTTTTGATCACCTCTCATGTGTCACCTATTCACTTGCATGCAGGCATAAACCGGATTGATTTGCAATATAGAATTTGTACATACACAAACTCATCCCTGTACGGAAGCATGAATAGTGTGCATTATTATAAGATGACAATGTGAAATTGGTGCCGCAGAAGTAGATTGTATCACCTGGATTCACTTCCTCTCAGGAAAACAGGTGGTCGACGTTGGTTCACGCTTAACCCACTACCATCCACCTTAGGGGGTGTCACGTCTCTTCACAACCAACCGGTTAGGAATCCTTCAGTGGGTGATTCCTAATAAAATCTTAGCCATAACTCTTTTATGAAATCTGTCTGTTTCATTCATCGAAACAAAGAGTATTATTGATTTTGTTATCAAGACCCTCTCCACCCTTATCGGGTTCACTCTTTTCAGACTCTTTGACGAGAAGCGGAGAAGCCTCCACACTATCTTCCACATCTCTAGTTTCTTCACTGTCGCCTTCGATGAGGGATTAATTGACATTTAGTTGTATCTAATGTCATAACATGCATGCCATAATTGTAGTAGAGCAATCCCTTGCAGAACCTTGGAAATCTCTCCAATCCTCAAAACGTTATATAACGGAAAACTCGAAGGAGTTATAGAAACCCAGTATATTAGATTGTACGAGGCATTTAAACTTTAGTTGTTACATGTAATTATTTGCGATTTCATTTTCAATCGCTAAGATGAGTCAGGGTTTTCCTATGGGATGAACGGATATGAAAAATAATCGAGTAGACTCAACGCCATCTTCCCTAATGTGCTTAACATTCGAAGTCAATTGTTAAAGTACAGCAAGGCCATTTTTTAGCATTTTCTACGGTATGAGTTTCTATGCTTAATGTACTCTTTTCAGCAACAGTTTCTTGCCTGTTAAATAATCCCATCAGAACAACTTTTCCTAGTGATTAAGTGTAGAGAATACGTTTTTACGTCTTATGCCTAACACAATGATATGGGTTTAGCTGTCGATTAAATAGAAAAGGTGTTGTAAAGACCGATGTTCGGCCAAATAAACAGCAACAGAATCAATGAGTTGATATCAGCTCACGTAACCCGAATCAGATGCACACGTGCAGGTTTAAATCCGATCTAAGTGTTAAACATCGTTGTATACCGTTTGTGGAATGTTTTTATCTTGCATATATGGTGTACGATTTATCAGTCCTACACTGTATTTGTCTGATATAAATAGGGGTTTAATTACCCACTTTTGAGGCACATGTTATTGAGAAAGTAATCAACAAGACCTACAGAAACATGGCAACTAACTCACGACAACACTGGAAATTAGTTTATATGTGTGTGGCTTTTTCAAAACAGGAGATCAGTCGGCAACATTGTTGTTCAGAACACGACGACATAGGTTATTTTGTTAACTATAGCCCACAGATCTTTTGAAGCATACAAGAATGTCTATTCAAGTAACTAGGCTTCAACTGCCTAGTTACTCAAGCAAGTGAACCACTACAAATTGTAGGGCACTGGTCACTACAGTGGATGACCGTAGCCATCAGAGTTAAGCTAGGTTACGCTTAGTGGCACAACACTGTGTAGTGATGCGTTACTCAGTTCCCAATCCCTAAAATGTCAGCATTTTCTAGTAGAGTTAAAAATGCTCTGAAAAGCTACATATTCGGCAAATTGTTCGCCATTACATGGAAATTCGTAAAGTATAGGTAAAATCGTCTTCCCTCAGTTATTACACTTTTTGTTTCGCCAGACGCAGATTGTTTTGGTGAAATATTGTCTATAGTCGCTCTTTAACTGATCATTTAGGTTTTGTATAGGACAAGTAGTCAGCCCACATAATTTAACTTTTATGATGCTGCTGGTCCAGATGCATTTGGTGCATGCTGAGCTAATACCTTTGTTGTATGAATGAGATGCCATAATTCCAACAAAATCTGCTGACTACAAAAAGTGTCAGAAAAGCAGACCATAGCCAAAACAGGGTGCCGTAAAAAGATGAAATTTTATTCCATGAATTCCGTAGATGTCCTATAGGAGGGGTATTTGTCTTCGTGGGATGGTAAATGTAAACTCTTAAAAGAGCTGTAGTGATTATAAGTGGATACGCTCACTAGAATACTTTAAGATTGGACACCCGTTTTCATTATGTTGGACGGGGAGTGTTTGCATATTGTTAACCACTCGTACCATTGAAGAAAGGGGCAACACATTACCGAAAAAGAGACGATGTATGGGACGTAATAAGGCAATTACAACGCAGCACGATCGGAGATGCACTGTTAAATGTGCGAGGAAGGTCAGCACTAGAGGCAGCACCCGTTGTTGGAAGCAATGTTGTTTAAAATGTTTCAGTAGATGTTGCGCAAGGTACAATCTTCTAAGTGAGGACTGTTTACTTCGGGGAACAACTGCAAGTTTTAAGTGAGGATTATTGTTTGTAAGTAAGGTTTCAAAGTTAATAGTGCAGATTGCAAGTGGTTCTGGTACGTATGAATGGTCAGAAAACGATCATAATTGTAGACAAGAATTGTAAACTGTTATTATTACTATGAGATGGCGGATAGCATAATGTTAGTGATGGCGTCATCACGAGCATGGTGCTAGTTCGATTCGTCTCAGAGCCAACCAAGCCTCTCATCCTTCCTGGCCGGAAAATTGGTACAGGATTTGTCTGAGAAAAAATCACTCTCTGCAGTCTAATTGGGATCGTCCAGCCCTGCTCTCTCAGGACTCCAGAGAGAATTGCTCGACCAGCATTGTACGACATTCAAGAATAAATAAAAATCCTCAAGAAGCAACCGAAGCCGCACGTAAAAACTTGGAAGACTTTCGTGAACGATGGATGCGAGTGAACGAACTGACTATGAGAACTACTGGCATCCGAACAATAAAGATGAGGAGGGATCAAATAAAATAGAAAAAAACCAAGTGTTGTTACTAGTTATCAATGCTATATTACATACAAGATATAATAGATGTATATAAAGTATATGTTTAAAAACTGTAATCTACGGATTAGAAAAGAAATGTGATGCAGTCAAGGTGCTAAGAACTGGCAACTGCTGCGAAACGGATGCCATGTTGAACCCTAAAGCACGCTTGGTGGACATCAATCCATTGTGGAAAAGTCTCTTTAGTGATTCATCAATTATAATCTTAATCTTTTTATTAACTGCCCATTCTTTTTAGCGGCAGGGTATGCTGAAAAATATAACTTCTAAAGTGATGAGATATTTGCAAAACTCCGGAACGCAAGCGTCTGCGGTGGAGAACGAACGCGCTTTTGTCCTCTCCTGTCATTGAAGTTACATTTCGCAATATGACCGGCCATTAAATAGAGTAGGCAGTAAATAAAACGGTTAAGATTGTGATTATAACTACAGCCTCAGCTTAACTGCGATCATTGCGATTTGGGCTGCCCAGATCAATCCCGCTGACGGGTGATTGCTCATGGCAAAAGATCGATAGAACTAGCTGAGAGACAAGCGAAACGAAGGACCCGCATGGTGTGATGGTGAACGCGTTACTTCCCGAAAAGGACAACAGCGCGTTCGTTCCCCACCGCAGACACTTGTGGTTCGGAGTTTTTCAAGTATCTCAGAATTATAGAAGTCATCAATTTTATTTACCAGCATCACCTGTAGTTCCATGCTGCTCGCATGGCTGCTGTTCGTCTAGTGTTCTGTCATTTCTGTTTAGGATGAGTCTAGTAAAAAAGTTTGCAGACGGCAGAAATCAAGTAGATTGGGCGATAGCTGCCGATATCGTAGAGGACACTCTTCTTGAACATTAGCACGGTCTTGCTGGTCTTCCACTGAGTAGGGACCTCGTGTTCAGACAGGTAACGTGTGAAGAGCCAAGCCATTGTGTTTACGATGACTGGCAGAAGGTTCTTCAGATGTTCAAATCCTAACCTTTCCGGATCAGGTGCCGCTCTATTTTTCACCGACGAAATGGCATGCCGGATTTCGGAAGGGTGAACCGGTGGCACAACATATCCATCCTCCTTTATTTCATATAATGGGAGGTGGACGTGGCTATGGAAGAGATCTGAGTAGTATTCGTGAATGATTTTTCCATTGCCTTTCTGGACGCTGTAACTGTTCCGTCTAGGCGTCGGAGTGCAATCATCTTGGTCCTATAATTGGCGAAGCATCGGTGGGCTTTGCGAATGGTTTTCCCAGCCTCTGCAGGTTCGACCATTACTGCTGCTCTTCTCTCTTTAAGGTCTTTTTCGGCCTATCTGCGTTGTTTTTGCAAGTTCGAACGTTCGCGGTGCGCATCAGCTCGAGAGTTTCCGGAGACAGACGTCTCTTGGTGACCTTCGAACTCTCAGCTTTCATAGCGCTGACGTAAAGACGTTGAATGAGCCGATCGCATTCTTCGTCGATGTTATCGACAACGGCGTCTTCCCAACAGCCGACTAATAAATTGAATAAGTCCCAGTTTACAGTGGTTTTGCGACTTCGTTTTTTGTATTTACCGGCTTTTTTTCATTTCTGTGAGAAAACGGGATCTTGCACGAAAGAGGCGGGGGTTTGATTCAGTGTAGAATTTTGGGACAACAGCGACATCGGTAAGGGAAAAACCTTCGATTTACTATAATGTGGTCTATTTCGTTATGGCAGCCTCCACTGGGAAACTCCCACGCCCGGCGTTGAGGGTGGGGCTTTTAGAATTGCGAGTTACCGTGGATGGTTTTGGTCATCAAAGCCGCTCACCATGTTCGCTCCATTCTAATCCGCTGGTTCCAATGTGACGTTCTTCAGACGTTCTTCTTGATCCAATCAGAGCGTTAAAATCTTCAATGATGACCTTGAAGAATGTATAGTCTACTGTTTAGAACTTCTCCAAGTCCATATAGATCGCTTCAACTTCTTCTTTGCCATAGCTTGATGTGTGCACATAAACGACTGAGATTGTCAGGGTCGCCGACGCAGCCGGCTCCTCTAGTGTCGCATGTTCCGAGAAACAGTTCTTCTGCGCTGTCATAGACGGCGTTGAATGAGTTCCGTCGTCTCGTCTGGTCCATTCGTATAAAAGGTTACGTGCATTGTAGGTACAGATCGTCACCTTAATTGTTCTTTCACTGGCTCTGAGATTTAGCAGCCCCTCCGTCCTATCCAAAAGCTGCCGAATTGGAGGCCATTTCGGAGTTAGGTGGCCCGTTTCTTTTACTGTGTTTAGCATTTTGACACCCACGTAAAGCTTGCTGAGGTCTGAACGTGTAGGCTGGGTATACTAACGGGTGGCTTGCCAGTCTCTCCCAGAGTGGACATGGTGCTTATTTATTGGAGGCGACTCCTAATCGCCTCCCATATATTTCCCTACCACTTGGTTGCAAGCTTTGGGCCGAATTAACTCGTAGAATACAATTCGCATAGACTTGAACGCAACCACACACGCGTGTGAGAGAGGTGTGCATCCATTTCAGCACTCATGGTCCTTTACGTATTGATACACGTCACCCGATGATGGGTTTTCAACAATGAACGATGATTTCTCGATAACTATAGCATCGAAGTCTTTAGAAGCGTACAAATTTACCAAAGAAGCATCACTTTATTGGTTTACATAGATTTGCCAAATATGTAATTTTTACACATAGTTTATTAAAAATTTGAGTGATTTAGAATACTGCTTTAGGAAAGGGCTAGGGGCGCGTGGGAGCAGTGGACGGAGGCCCCTTGCAACACACCCGTGGAATCGATCTCTGCGCCCATGGACCACCAAGCCTTCCATCTTTCCGGAGTGGGCAAATTGGTACTAGACTTGACTGTTAGAATAGCAGCACTAGTTCTATAAATACATCGGTAGGCCATCGCGGGTCATTGCGCAGGCCAGATATGCATTCAGTCGCCTCCAACGGTGCTTAATGAAATCGATTGCATGGCGCATCCCTCAGGGTTTGATCAACGACGCGAGCTTTATCCTTTATTCTTTAAGATTACCAGGCTGAGGCATAAACGATACGTTGCGAAACATCGTGTTGCCTTATTCGATAGAATTCTGTTTGTTCAGTTACTTTCGCGTTCTAGATCCGATCCTCGACAAAAATGAGGAAACCAAAAAATACAACTTGTGGATTCCGGAAAACTTGACTTTTCATTTTGGTGGAATATGATAACTTCCATCTCTTAGGCGATCTACAGATTTTAATTTGAATTGAAAGCGGTTCACATTACTTTTGCATCGAATACATTGCAATCAATGCAAGTCGAGCGTTATGTGCTTAAAAATGCCAAAATACTTAACATTTGCTCTTTCCTAAAATTATGATATTCTACCTCATAGCGAATTCAAGCCGGAGCAATATTCCTTCTCGAAAATTTTCTTATCGAACGACTCGTCGCTTCAGAATATGAAAATGGCTCTTCAGACTCACGTCATCTTCTGTAGGCGTCAACACCCGTTCATCGTCACCGACTGATCCACTAACAGCCGTTGCCATACTTCTCGTGTCATTGACACTGTCACAAGACTTTACCGACGACATCCCTTTGGATGTTGCAGATTGATACGACGAAAGGGACAACTGATCAACGCAATCGTCTAAATAAGTGAACGTATGCCGTAGCCAAGTAGCATTTTAAATTTAAATTTCAACTAGCTAAATAGTACTTTTATTTCAATTTTTTCACTAAGAGCTACCTTCTTCTGGAGCGCCGTTGTCGTTGATCTTCTCTCGCAAGCTTTTTCTTCTTTCTTTTTTCGTTAGGGCCATCACGTTCTCATGTTTGTCCTATTTAGCCATTACAAATGCTTTATTCCACTAGATCTTATAACAATAACAACAACAAGGAATCTTAAGTAACCTTCTGACGGAAGCATTTCCTACAGCGATCCTTCAGATAATTTTGTGATTCAAAGCCACTGCATACGTCTGCCATAGAAGTTTTACAGAATGGTCTCTGTGGACACTTCCGTTAGTGGATTTCGCTTTCTGTGCACAATTTTTGCACATTTCTTCTCGTCAGTATCGATAGACATAGGAAATGAATAAATACGGATAGAAAAGACGAAGAGAGGTATAATAAAGTCGTAAAATTTTTGCAGCATCGCGGAGCCAAAAGTTCAGATCAAGCGAAATTATAAATTGAAGATCCGTTTGCTAGGTTATTGCAGGAGAAATAAAACTTTGGAAAAAGAACGGTGCAAAATTGTGCTTGGAATAATCGAAGAATGAAGAGTATCCGGATTGTTTAACGTTTTGTTTTCTGCCTTCTATAATTTTCATGGCAGGTTACTAAGCGAAATACAACCACAACGTTGCTGAGATATTTGCAAAACTCTGGAAAAACAAAACGTTAAACATTGTGATTTCAACTACAGCCAT